AAGGTTCATAATTATTTGCAGGATAGATAGTCTAAAGACATTATTTCACCATTACTGGTAGTAGAACTTTCTCTGTTGTACTTTTTAATTGTTGAATTACCACTGCTATCTAATGTACAGAAACATCTATATGTTCAGTATTGACAATTCTCTAGTTCCTGGTTTGCCTATAAATATGTCTTCAGAGGAAAAACATTGTGCAAAAGCAACACATTTTTAAGTAGCAAAAATTGTTATTATAAACGGAAAACTGAACATTTTTTAGTGGCAGGCACAATGGTGCAAGCTGTACATGTGCTGCCTTATTTAATCTGTAGTCACTATTTTTTGTGTATTGTGCACAAAGTTCATTTGGTTTTGTCCATAAGATGTCTCTAGTAGTGCTTAGTTGTCTTTATAACTTCATTCGAAACAATTTTATCAGATTGTATTGTGACAGCTGTCATGTCAGTATGCATTTTAAAAAAACATCAAAATTGGTGAATATTTGTGTAGCCATTTTAATATTGAACATGAAAAAATACACAACATGTTTGGCATATTATGCTTTATTATTTCAAGAAAGGTGAAAACACAATTGAAATGCAGAAAAAAAGATTTGTGCAGTGTATAGAGAAGGTACTGTGACTGATCAAATGTGTCAAAGGTGGTTTGTGAAGTTGCATGCTAAAGATTTCTCCACAGTTGGGTGTAGGCCAGTTGAAGTTGATAGAGATCAAATCAAGACATTAATTGAGAACAATCAGTGTTATACCAAGCAGGTGTGTCTGACATACTCAAAATATCCAAATCAGTAGTTATTGGTGAAGATGAAAAATGTGTCTTTTATTTTATGGATAAAACTAAACAGACTTTTTGGCCAACTCAATACTATATTTTTTCTTTCTTTTAAATTATTGATTTTAGAGAGATGGAGGGGGCAGAGAGAGAGAGAGAGAAACAAACATCAGGTTACTAATTCTTGTACGTGCCCTTACCAGGGATCAAACCCTCGACCTTGGTGTATTGGAGTGATGCTCTCACCAACTGAGCTATCTGACCAGGGCCTCATCTCTTACTTTTTCAAGCACAAAAACCCTGTATCTGAGCCAGAATGGTCAAAAGAATTTTTAATGTAAAAACTTATTTTTTAAATGTGAGAGTATGTTTATACTAATTGGAAGGAGCTGGTAGAGATGTGTAATATTTATAAAGAGCAGTGTGATGAGTAATTCAGCAAGTCTCAGAGGTAACAGGAGAGAATGAAGTTAATTGCTGAAGACTGTCTGAACTTCAACAGATGGAAACCTTTCTCCCTTAGAGTGAAGGGAAGAACATACGGATTTGCATGGCTATGAAAAAGCTTAATGCAGGAGACAGGATATAAAAGACAGGATATTAGTCTGAATTATCTTGTTAAATGGATCCATTAGAATAGACTGAGGGCCAGTTCAATAATCTTTGGGTGAAGTTTTCGGGATAGTGGAAGAGCCTTTGCCATGTATTTATTTTTTTTCAAAGATTTTATTTATTTTTAGAGAGGGAAAGGGAGGGAGAAGGAGAGAAACATTTGATAGGTTGCCTCTCACATGCCCCCAACTAGGGACCTGTCCTGCCAACCAGACATGTAGACTGACTGGAAATTGAACTGGAAATCTTTCGGTTTGCAGGACTATACCCAACCCACTGAGCCACACCAGTCAGGGCAGAGTGGCAAAGGTTTAAATATCCCATGAAGTAAATTAGCAAGGGTGTCCAACCCATGGCCCTCAGGCAGCATGTGGCCAAGGATGGCTGTGAATGCAGCTTAACCCAAAATCATAAATTTACTTGAGACTTTATTTTTCATTTTGTTTTCTTTTTCTTTATTGTTTCTCAATAATTTTATTTAGTTATTTTTCAAGTGCAGTTTTTTGTCTGTTTCTCCTATCCCAGCCCCCCCACCCCGTGCTCCCCACCTGCCTCCCATTTCCACCCCTCTTAGTTCTCGTCCCTGTGTCCTTCATATTTGTTCCTCCAAATCCCTCCCTTTTTTCCCCCTTAAATTCCCTTCCCTCTCCCCTCCAGTCACTGTCCCCTTGTTCTCTATTTCAGTGTCTTTGTTTTTATTCTGCTTGCTTGTTTGTTTTATTGTTTAGCTTCCTGTTAAAGGTAAGATCATATGGTATTTGTCTTTCAACCCCTGGCCTATTTCACTCAGCATAATGCTTTCCAGTTCCATCCACGTTGTTGCAAAGGGTAGGAGCTCCTTCTTTCCCTCTGCTGCATAGAATTCCATTGTGTATATGTACCACAATTTTTTGATCCATTCATTTACTGATGAGCACCTAGGTTGCTTCCAACTCTTGGCTATTGTAAATTGTGCTGCTATGAACATTGTGGTGCATAGGTTCTTTGAAATTGATGTTTTAGGATTCTTGGGATATAATCCTAGCAGTGGAATTGCTGGGTCAAAAGGCAGGTCGATTTTTATTTTTCTGAGAAAATTCCGTACTGTTTTCCATAATGGTTGTACCAGTCTGCAATCCCACCAACAGTGAACTAAGGATCCCTTTTCCCCACAACCTCTCCAACATTTGTTGTTTGTTGCTTTGTTTATGATAGCTATCCTGACCGGTGTAAAGTGGTATCTCATTGTGGTTTTAATTTGCATCTCTCTGATAGCTAGTGATATTGAGCATCTCTTCATGTGTCTCTGGATTCTCTGTATGTCCTCCTTGGAGAAGTGTCTGTTCAAGTCCTTTTCCCATTTTTTAATTGGGTTAGATGTCTTCTTAGAGTGGAGTCGTGTAAGTTCTTTGTATATTTTGGAGATTAAACCTTTGTCCGAGGTATCATTGGCAAATATGGTTTCCCATACAGTTGGTTGTCTTTTTAATTTAATACTGTTTTCTTTAGCCACGCAGAAGCTTTTTATTTTGATGAGGTCCCATTTGTTTATTCTTTCCTTTATATTCCTTGCTCTAGGGGACATATTGGTAAAAATGTTGCTGTGTGTAATATCTGAGATTTTCTTGCCAATGTTCTCCTCTAGGACTTTAATGGTGTCATGGCTTATATTTAAGTCTTTTATCCACCTTGAATTTATTTTGGTGTATGGTGTAAGTTTGTGCTCAAGTTTTATTTTTTTGCATGTAGCTGTCCAGTTCTCCCAACACCATTTGTTGAAGGGGTTATCTTTACTCCGTTTTATGTTATTGCCCCCTTTGTTAAGACCTTTTTATGCTCATAAGTTTCCGTTAATGTTTGTATATTTAATGTTTGGCCCAAGAGAACTCTTCTTCCAGTGTGGCTCAGAGACACCAAAAGGTTGGACACCCTGTGAGGGAAGGTAAACAGAGTTAGGTAGAATGACAGACGATTCGCCTGGCTCAGAGCTCAGGCAAGTTTAGAGCCATGTGTTTGTAGGTGCATCAATTATGTGGTTTCCTCTGTGTTCTTCAGTCTGTGGTAAGATTATAAAGGACTCATGTTAGCTTGAGATAATATTTATAAAGCACAAGTGATACAAGGGCAAACATGCAATGAATTATGGGAGAGTTATAGTAGTAGAGTTTTCTACATAAATAGTTGAGATTGAGTTCATCTTCAGTTGGAGGCCTGTCTTCAATTTGATTCTAAAGTTTAAGATGAAAGTTATCATTTCAGCAAATAAAATTTGATGACCCATAGTGAAGAAATGCTTGTGGGCACGATCTGTGATATAGTGAGAAATGCATATATAAATATATTACAACACTATTTTTCTCCAAGTCTTACCTGATCTACTTATAAAGTCACCACCCAAATTTTATATAGTAGAATGTATGTGAATAATGTAGTAATGTATGTGAATAAACAGTGGCCTCTAATCTTGGAGAATTATCTGTATTCCTGATTACTTATTCACAGGACCCATTGCAATGTTACTCAACAGCTTCAAAGCTGGAAGCACCTCAAATAAATGAATAATATGCCAGACTCCTATCTGGGCAGGGAGCCATTCTCTTCTTTTGGTCATTGCCTACTGCAGGAACCCTACATGAAGATGTGTGGTGGGATTCTAGGCAGAGAGAAGAACAAGGTCACCCCCTGGCTGGCATAGCTCAGTGGATTGAGCGTGGGCCTGTGAACCAGAGTATTGAGGTTCGATTCCCAGTCAGGGCACATGCCTGGGTTGCAGGTCAGTTCCCAGCAGGGGATGCATGAGAGGCAACCGTACATTGATGTTTCTCTCCCACTCTTTCTCCTTCCCTTCCCCTCTCTCAAAAAATAAATAAATAAAATATTTTTAAAAACCTTTAAAAAAAAAAAGAACAAGGTCAAAGACTCTAAGGTGGGACTATGTTCAAGACACTGAGTAGAACCCAGTGTAGTGGAATTTAAGGGTGCAAATGAGACTGAAGTAGAAGATGAGGTCAGAAATGGGTTCACTGACATTGATTATAGTTCAAAGATATTTCTTTAGCTCTTTATAGTTTCCAGAGAACTTTCATATATAATTTTAAATGATTTCTACAGCAACCCATCATAAGAAACTTGAAGATTTTTAAAAAATGCTAAGTAATACAATTAGAAAATATAGGAGCTTATACTGTAACTGAAGTCTGCTGTTAAGTAGCACTTTTCTTTATACTGTACCTCAAAGATTAGTTAGTAATTTTAAAGCATTAAACCTTAAAAAAATCAGTTTCCTAACAGAGCTATATTTTTACAAGAAAATAGAACTTATTGAACTCTGTGCTATGATTTGAAGCACGAGATTACTATTTTTCTTTTCTATAGTTAACTTTAGTAGATTTAAGAAAATTCTCTTTTGGTGTAACTTAGATGTTTTTCATAAAATCACTTACATTTATTTTCTCATTTTAATGTGTCTAATGTAATATCTTTCATATCATAACACATTTTGAAAATGTGGTATTTTAGCTAAACCAAACCATGTAATTGTAAGGAAATTAACAAAAATGTCACAAGAAGCACTTCTTGGTCTAAAAGAATTCTCTGCATATTAACAGAGCTGTCCTATGAATTTCTTTCAGCTGGAGATGGAAAAGCTTCAGCTACAAACCCTTGAGCAAGAGCACAAGAAGCTGACCTCTCGCCTGGAGGAAGAGCGTGGCAAGAACAAGCATGTGGTCCTGATGCTGGTGAAGGAGTGCAAACAGCTCTCAGGCAAAGTCATAGAGGAGGCCCAGAAGCTAGAGGAAGTAATGGCCAAACTGAATGAAGAAAAGAAAAAGACGAGTGCATTAGAAGAGGAACTCTCTGTTGAGAAACGAAGAAGCATAGAAATGGAAGCTCAGATGGAAAAACAGCTCTCTGAGTTTGACACCGAACGGGAACAGCTTCGTGCCAAGCTGCACCGAGAAGAAGCACACACCACTGACCTCAAAGAGGAGATAGACAAGATGAAGAAAATGATTGAGCAACTAAAAAGGGGAAATGACAGCAAACCAAGCCTCTCTCTCCCCCGGAAGACAAAAGATAGGCGTTTGGTCTCCATATCTGTGGGAACAGAAGGACCTATGACAAGATCTGTTGCTTGCCAGACAGACCTAGTGATAGAAGGCACTGACCATGTGAAGAAGTTGCCTTTGACTGTGCCTGTAAAGCCTTCCACAGGGAGCCCCCTAGTTTCTGCAAATGCAAAAGGGAATGCATGTACAAATGCCACCTCTATCAGACCAGGTATTGACAGGCAGGCTTCCCATGGTGACTTGATTGGTTCTTCTCTGTCCACTGTTCCACCTCCAAGTGTAAACAGAATTGAGGAAAATGGACCCAGCACAGTCTCAACGCCAGATTTAACAAGTAGTACACCCCCACCTCCCAGCAATGCTGCTTCTCTCACCGTGCAAACACCAGGCACAAGTCCCCAGAACTACTCGCAAGCTCCACCTGCACACAGTTTACATTCACCGTGTGCCAATGCATCTCTGCATTCAGGTCTAAACCCACGAATCCAAGCAGCTAGATTTAGATTCCAGGGCAATGCTAATGACCCAGACCAAAATGGAAATACTACTCAAAGTCCTCCATCAAGAGATGTCTCTCCTACAAGCCATGACAACCTAGTGGCCAAACAAATGGCTCGGAATACTGTGACCCAAGCACTCTCCAGATTTACAGGCCCTCAAGCAGGAGCACCCCCAAGGCCTGGAGTGGCTGCAGATGTTGGCACCTACCCTTCAGTCAGCCGGACCAGCGTAAAGACTCCCAGTGCACCACGAGTTGACAGAGGAAACCCTCCTCCTATCCCTCCAAAAAAGCCAGGGCTCTCCCAAGCTCCTTCTCCACCCCACCCCCAGTTCAAAGTTATTGTGGATAGCGGCAGGGCCTCCAGTGCTGGGGCCAAAGTGGATAACAAAACTGTGGCTTCACCTCCTTCCAGTTTACCCCAAGGGAGCAGGGTCATAAGTGAGGAGAATCTCCCTAAACCATCCTCTCCTCAACCTCCACCAAAACCATCCATAGATTTAACTGTGGCACCCGCAGGCTGTGCCGTTTCAGCCCTGGCCACGTCTCAGGTGGGTGCCTGGCCTGCTGAAACCCCTGGACTGAATCAGCCTGCATGTTCAGAACATTCCCTTGTCATTCCCACCACCATTGCCTTTTGCTCTTCCATAAACCCTGTTAGTGCCTCATCCTGTAGAACAGGTGCCTCAGACAGCCTCCTGGTAACAGCATCAGGTAAAGGGATTGTAATGTTATACCCTTTTTAAGAATGTGGTCTGTCCTCTTACTTGCCTTAATTTCTTTCACAATTCCTTGAAACTTTTTTTTAATTTGATACTTTTTAATATATATTTCTTTCCTCTTTTTTTAAAGGCTCCAGGGTATGGTGATTCATTTTGCTATATGAATTGCGGTTTTGTTATGCTAAGTGCTTTCCTTTCTTTTTTTGCTTTTAATAACCCAAAATTGTGGTTTGTAGCACACGGAGATCATTGATTTAGAGACTAAAGCATTTCCATGGGAAGAAAGACTTTCCTTTTTATTAAATATTTCTCTCTCAAGACTTCAATTTTAGTGAGTCATCACCAGGCACTATGTGTTTAGTTCTACCCTGTCTGCTATGACAGAAAAGCAATCCTTTCAAGTAGTTATTAACACTACAGTCCGACTTGGATTATCAAATTGTTTAGATTTGTTCTATAATTGTTATGTTCTAAATTTTAATATCAGTTTGGTGTTAACTTTTTAACCTCAGAAAGAGTGTGTATATTTATCGATCTCTGTTTTAAGTGTAGTTTATTTCAGAGCTGTCTGCTAACACTTGAGCACAGGTGGTGAGCATGTGGCCTGCATTGAAAAGGTGTCCATTGCAGATGTGCTTTTTACAAAGTCACAGAATCTGGGACTCTTGAACAAAGAAGCTGATAAAGATCTGGATTTTTCCCTTTTGTTATGAAGTACTAGAGGAAGTGGTTTTTTTACCAGTGTGACTGGATTAGCTCTTCACAGTATCCTAGTGGTTAGCAGAGACTATTTGTTCTGATGAGAGAGCTTTAAGAATTATTTTATCTTTCTTTTGATTTAATCTTTATTGTATTTTTTCCATTATCATTTAGTCCCCTACCCCCCTTACACCCCAGAGAGCACCACACTGTTGTCTGTGTCCATGAGTCCTTTTTCCTTTTCACTCAATCCCTCAGTCTCCTAACCTACCCCCAACCCCACTACTGTTATCTGCTCTCCATAGAGAAACAAGTAGTTGGTAATTATCAGGTAATGAGAGCGGCACACCAGGACTTATTCACCCAGTTATAAACTGTATCCTTGAAATTAAGTTCCTTGAGAGGCTTTTTTTTATATTTTAGGGGCAAAATTGGAAACAGCAGGGACTTTGGTATCTGTCACATCTGTGTTGGAATCTGGGCTCTGCCATTTGCAGCTGTGTATTTTGGATGTATTTTCTTGAACTGAGCAAGTCTTCTCATTGGAACTTATGCTACTAATGTGGGGAGGGTGACAGGAGGTTTTAATATAACATGTCCAAAGAGCGTAGTATTGAGTGTAGAGCAGCATGGGTGATGAATAAGTAAAGGTGATATTGCTGCTTCAGTGATACTGTTACTAAAAGCATTTTTGAAAATATGCTTTAGAATTGACTTCAGTGTTACTTTTTTATGTGTTTATGGACATCTAGCATTATATATGTGTATATGATCCAAAATGGTATTACTAAGCTAGATGGCCTTCTCCTGGCCTGAAATGATTGATGTTGGCTGATTTCCCACGTTTTAAATCCACCCTCAAAGAAGGAATTTTTGCTAGCATTCAGGAGAATCAGAGAATGTGCTGTATGGTTGTAAGGCAGTCGCAAAACAGATTTCAAAAAATCTGTTCCGAGCAGTGGAGCGTTATCAACGTAAATGCACAGAAAACACTTCCTGGGATATATAAATTTTGTCAGTTTTTATGTGCCTCCAGGGTTCAGTAGAAAAGCTTTAAAACCAGGATTTGTAATAGATGAGCATTTTGTCAGTAGGGATGAGCAAAAGTAGGTTTATAGTTGTGAGTATGTGAAACAGTTTACTCTTGTATTACTATTTATTAATTGTGTTATTTTCCGTACAACCAACTATAAACCTACTTTTGCTTGCCAATGTGTATTCACCAGAATGACCTGCATAGGATACAGTGGAATTTTGGATGAAAGAGCCATCTGAAAGTGCCCTTGGTTTGTACCTATAGAGTTAGTAAATAGTGGAACCAAATAAATAACAGCCAATAAAAATATGTGAAACTGGTTCCTTATTTCTTATTCTCTGATTTTGTAATTTGCCCAAAATATTTTCAGAACTGCAGGATTACCTTTGGTGGGATAACAGGTTTCTATTTCATTTGATTTGAGGGTGTGGCATATTAGTTGAAATGGAGACAGTGAGGTCATTACTTATTCAGCAAGTGTTTACTGAACATGTAGTGTATTCGGGGGATGGAAATATTACTATTACATAATGGGGGGTGTATAACTGTATCATGGGTGCAGGTCAGCCTACATTTTTTAAATGAGATACAGGACTTCAACTCTGCTTTCCATTTAGAGTACCCCACTTGTGATGACTTACCCATTGCATCTAGGAGGCACCAGAGCTTCCTCCAGCCTGCTTCTTAACCCATTTCTGCCTGAGTGAGTCCGTGCCTCTCCAGATCATAAGCTCATTGCAGGGCATTATTCTTCTAAAAAGCCACCAATGCCATTATAGTTGGTAAAAACTGGTCATGGGGACAGATCACATCTGCCAAATACATAGTAGATATCTGTTCCAGTTTCAGTGGTGCAGAGAGCACCAGGCTAAGTGTAAGAAGGCAAAGTTAGTCCATTTCTGTCCCTTTCTAATTATCACCCTAAAGAGCAAATTCTCTCTGAACTGTTAATTTTCCCATCTAAAAATGAAAGCATTGAACCAAAAAGTAATAATGATTCCAAACCAGAAAGATTTATGAAACTCGCCTATTGAATTCTCCAACTACTCACTACCTTCTCCCTCCTTGGAAAACCGCTAGATCTCATGATCTTTCAAACTCTAAAATTCTGTGTTTCTATATCAGCTTATATTTATGATAAACAATTATGATTAATAAAGCACTGAGGAGATCGCAATGGCAAAAGATACCATTTCGGTGAATTATGTTGTGAATTACTCTAACCCTATTAATAATTTTTATGGCCAAATGATAATTTTTTAAATAACATTTTAAATTCTAAATAAATTGGATTTTCTTGTTCTTCCTGGATTTGTTAGAGGAAGAGAAGCCTAAACCAGAAATCACCCCCGGCAGCTGAGTTTCCATACCCTTGGAGATTTTTTCTGTATTTTTTTAATTTGATACATTTATTTTGGTTCAGACCTTTTTCTCTTATTTACACATACATTTTAAAAATTATTCTCCACCACATGTGATTGGCTTAAAAGCTAAATCAGAAAGCAAGATTGATCTGAGCTATACATTAACCTTTTCCACACTCTGAAGCTGATGCCAGAAGTTGCTCTCAACTCTTCTGTTGCCATGGCATGTGCTGTCTGTTCCCTTTGTCACTGCATGTTCTGTGAGATGCTCACCTTCCTGATGCTTGCACGTGACACTGTAAAGCTGAAGACCTTTTCCTAACATCATTAAAATAGCTATATGAGTGCAGATCTGTTCTTCATTACTAAAGCATTACTTAAAAAGTCAACTAAATATCATTTTTATCATTGTTGGCAACTTCAGATGAGTTAATAAATGTCAAAGTTTTTTTCATGGTAAAGTTTTATTTTTCTCATACTTAGAGGAGGTTTATTACAATAACTTAAGTTTGGTTAGAGAAAATTGAAAATGATAGTGCAGATAGAATATTTACTTAAACTTTAACAGTTTTTCATTGTAAATCATTTTAAACCCTGTTGCAAACTGGTAAGTAATAAGAAAATTAATATACATTTTCCTGCAGTTTTGTGTAACAGAACTTGAAGGCTTTTGAGTGGCCTAAGGATTAAGGAAAGTTTTGAAAAAAATATTTTATTATTCAGATAGCTTTTCATTGAAAATAGGGTTTCTCAGGAAATTATATCTAAGGTTGACTATTTCCATATACATCAGTTAAATATAGTTATATTTAAATTGTCTTCCAAAGCTTAGAACTGTATAGAAAAAATGGAAACAAAACCCAAATAATAGCAAACCATTTAATATACACCTGTTGACATTTTTTTAATCCTCACTTGAGGATATATTTTTATTGATTTTAGAGAGAGGAAAGGAGAGGGGGAGATAGAGGGAGGGAGAGGGAGGGAGAGAGATGTGGAAACATGGATTGGTTGCTTCCATACTTGCCCCAGCTGGGGAACAAACCCACAACCTCCTTGTGTGCCCTTATCAGGGATCAAATCAAACCTCTTGATGTATGAGACAATGCTCCAACCAAGGAGCCACATGGCCCCAGCAATATTCTTAAAGGGATATCAAAGAACACTTGGATGAGATAGAGGGAAATAGAGAGAGAGAGAGAAATGGAGGGAAGAAAAGAAAGAAGAGAGAAAGAGAGAAATAGAGTGTGAGCCACATTCCCTGGGGTTCTACAGAGGACCACAGTACAATGCCTTCGTGTTGCCATTGTGTTTCCTTTGCAGTCAAGGTTTTGTACCTTGGTGTTTATAGTTTTTCTGTTTATCATCCATTTTAATAAGTGCTGATTTAATTTTTATGGGTTTGTTTTTATTTGTTTTAATATAAAAGGTAAAATGTACCAGAGAGGAGCTTTCTTGTAAGTATGAAGTAAAAATAATAACTTTGTTAGAGGCATTAATGAATATCAATGGGAAAATATCACAAAGTTTAGATAAATATTTAATTTTATAGCCATTTCAATGTATGTCATTACAGTCTAATAAAGCAATAAATTATTTATGGGCCCAAATAAATTGAATATGAAGATATATAATCAGCAGCTTTTAATAAGCAGTTCTAGTTTCATTTGTATTAACTGCTTTATTACAAAGAATTTTTAAAATACTGAGAAATCCTTTGATATGCACTCTTAATATTTATTAAAATAGTTTAAGGCCAATAATTAAGATTCAATTTTAAGAATTGAATATTACATACATACAAATATGATACCCATATACCTAGAATGTGCAGAGAATATAAAACATCCATCTAGCATATATTACTACATGGAATGTTATCAGAGATATTAGAAACTGTACCCAAGGGCTGACAGTGTGCACACATGCCTTTGTATTTTTATCAGCATTGCTTAGATGTATTTCAAGCTCCATGAGGAAGAAAATAAAATGATGTGTTTTGAAAGTTAATGGTATTTAAGCTTAAAGTACACAAAATACCTATGTCACATTAAATAAACATTTTTGCTTTACTGTTTTTACAGCTTTTTAATCAAGGAAGAGTTCAGAAAATTTTCCATGCTATATGCAGCCAACTTTACACACTTAACAGATTCTCTTCTAAAGCTGCTGAATACTGATGATAAATATCTAACTATGATAACTCTTATAATTTTTGTTAAATCTCTGTGTACAGTGTCCTATTCTGTTAGCTGATTAAAAATGTATGGAACACATGTTATAAAGATGGCCAGATGATACAATCTTTAAAAATTGTATTGATTTGTGGTGATATATATTTTTTAAAGATTTTTATTTATTTATCTTTAGAGGGGAAGGGAAGGAGAGAGGGAGAGAAATATCAGTGTATGGTTACCTCTTGTGTATCCCCTGCTGGGAACTGGCCTGCAACCCAGGCATGTGCGCTGACTGGGAATCAAACCATGGTTGTTTGGTTCACAGGCCCACACTCAATCCACTGAGCTTCACCAGCCAGGTCTATGGTGATATATTTTAGATGCAATTATATATGTAGTGCTTCAATTAGCTGTTGATATGGAATAGTTGGCCCCCATTATTTTTATTCTCAAATAAGGAAATTCAAGGAGTGTAAGTAAATTCCTTGACAGTATTTGGTCCATCTTAGTGGTTTATGTAAAATCAAGTACCTTGGAAACATTTTCAAAGAAGGAAAACCTCTATTTCTTACAATTATTTTTGTCTTACACCTTAAGATTAGCTCACTTATTTAGATTGATACTGAAATTGAAAAAAATTCTACATAATTTTAAAATTCACATTGCTTTAAAACCTTGAAAATGAATTTGAACTTTCAAAATGAGATAGCCATTGTAGTTTCCTAAAACCAGTCCCCACCTTAACCCTTACCTGTGCAAGACTGATGTCTACAAATAATTTGTCACCATGTATATTAATTAGTAAATTAATTAGTAAATATAAGATTGAGATAACCATACAGATTTGTGCTCAATAACTATTAACAGATTGATAACGTTAGAAACCACATAATTCTCTAAGAATGCATGTTCCTGCATCTGTGTGTCTATAATTCAGAAAGGAGTGGGTGATGTCTGTCATTTATCCTCCCTCCTACTCTCTAACTAGGGTCACTTTAACCTACAGGCTGGTCACCCTCCCTAACCCCTTTGCTAATGAGTGGTGGTCCTGCCCCCCTGGCTGGCAGGCCCACCCTTCTTCAGCAAGCTGCTGCCCAGGGAAATGTCACTTTATTATCAATGCTGCTTAATGAAGAAGGACTGGACATTAACTACTCCTGTGAAGATGGCCATTCTGCCTTGTATTCTGCTGCTAAGAATGAACATACAGGTAAAGATGGTGATAATATTACCTCATCATACCAGTACCTGCTTGCAAAAGGATGGAGAGTCAGAAGCATTTGTGACACTGTCATGAGCAAAAGTTTCGTTTTTATTTCAATTTTCCCTTACAGATAGTACTGGATAATTTTTTTATGATTTAAGTATTACTGTAAACATTTTTAAGAATCCAAATTGTACAGTTTTATAATAATGTAAAATGTTTAGCAGCTAGAAAAAAGTGTCCTTTTATGCACAATGAAATGTGTATACAGAAATTTTAGGTCTAGTAACTGTAATGCACATTGTAGAATAAAACCCTCCACCTGTGATCAGTTTGGTCGGGATGAAACAGCCCTAATTTGTCTGTTAGAAATATCTGATGTGTGTGAAAGTCAAAGCACCTGAACTTTAGTGCATGCTATGGAGAGGGAAAGTTTTAGTAGTTAGGACAGGTAATGGGTCTGAAATTGTCCTGTAGTTGAAGCAATTTATAGTTATTTGGATTGTTTTAGAGGCTAAGAAGTTATACAACTGTAAATGACAGATTGATGAAGTCTGGGAATTATTTTTGTTTCTTGAATGCAAATCCTAGTCAAATATACTAAAACATAAGCTAGTGAAGAAAAAGATGATTTGACTGCAAATGTAAAGTCAAATAGCATTGTCTATGATGCTATTTGTAACTGGACAATTGTCAATTCAGATAAGGTGGTTTGGAAGTCTTCAGAACTTCATTGTGTTCAAGTGGATTAAATGGAAGGTTCTAGTGAGCTAAGAATGTAGGTCATTATTTTAAAAGTAGTTTGGGATTCATTTTTACTTCAAAAGCACTATGGGAATTTTCTTTAGTATAGAGAAATTGAATCTAGTGAATGACAAGAGGAACACGAGATCTAGATGGTGCTATTTATGCCTGAGTCAGGCATAACACAGTTTGAAGACTGGGTCACCTTTAGACTCATTCATGGAGTTAAGTGTAGCATGACCATGACACAAGCATTTTAAAGATTAAACAAAACATAAAGTAAGAGTTTACTAAATATAAAGAGTGGTATTTCAATTAAGTAAATGGATTTGGTTCTCCATCCAATAACATTATTTTCTGGGGTAGTCTGGTAGAAAAATCTGGTAAAGTGTTTTCTGACATGACAGACAGTTCTCTCACTCATCAGCGACTGTTCCCAAAGCACCAAAAAAAATAAAGATCACGTCTCAGTTGGTAAGTCTGGGGTATTACAGTGTTCAGGAAAAGAGGCTGCTTTTCCTGTAAATAGTCTGTGGGGTCTTACATTTGGATGATAGAGTTATCAGATGGACTGTGCATGGAAGAGGTCCTTTGGGTTTAGTATCTGTCTACAGCTTTTATAGAGTTTGGTTCACTGAAACCTTGAATGGGGAATTAAAGTGACTTTCTGTTAAAATCCGTAGACTGTGTGAGATTGCTGCTGAATGCAGAAGCCCAAGTCAATGCTGCTGATAAAAATGGCTTCACACCGTTGTGTGCTGCAGCTTCTCAGGGACATTTCAAGTAAGTGATTCTTTGTTTTCTTATGAGGAGAGGTTATTTATAATTTGCACACATATTTTATTCTGGCTTACTGTGTAAGCTAGTGCTTAAACTCTACTGTCAAATAAATTTATTAAATTTTTTTGAGGACTTAAACACATTAGGATCCTAAAATTGTTCTTAGTAACTGGTAAAGAGCTGTGTATGAGAGATGGGAAGAAGAGAAATATGCAGTGTCCAAACCTCACAGGAGTGAACTTGATTCTGAAGAAGATAATCTTGTGATAGTATGGCAACATATATGTGGCAATTTAATGGGCTGTTAGACTTTGTTCTTCACCATTTTCTACCACTCCAACACAAAGAAACAATTTTACTTACAATGGCATTAAAAATACAACATTGGACTATATTATTTGTAACAATCTTAACTTACTAGTAGCAATTTATTCAGTATTAAATCTCAATTATTTACCTTGTTTTATCATAAAAAGAAGCAGAAACTTTATATACTGAAAATAATGAGAGCACAAAACCAAAAGAGCCTATCAATTAAAATATACATAACTGTAGTAATGATTCCTTCAGTAGCTTATTAAGGCAGTTGAACATAGTAATAGTTTTTTAAAAATTGTCTCACATTTTACTAAAAGGGAATGTAGCTAAATTGTTTTCTGGGCCTGTGCTGAAATAGCAGGTTGCAGGGATTGCAAGCTATGTTCAACTTTTTACATCACTATCCTGATAGAAATGTTCTTTGATGAAGTTCAGAATTTTTAAAATATGGGTTTTAAGGCTCACGCTAATGATATTTTAAAAAGTGAAGGGATTAAGCAACAAACAAACAAACAACCCAAAAACCTATAGACAGGTAACAGTATGGTCGTTACCAGAGAGAAATGGGACTAGGGGAAGGTAAGCCCAGAGTAAAGGGAGGATAAATGGTGATGGAAAGAAACATGACTTGGGGTGGTGAACACACAATACAATACACAGATGATGTATTAGAGAATTATACCCTTTAAACCTGAATAATTTTATTAACCAGTGTAACCTAATAAATTCAACTTAAATTCTAATTGGAAAAATTTCAAAATTCACAATTCACCCTTAAAGTATACATTATTTATTTTTTCCTGCATATCATCACTCTGAGTTGTTATTGAAGACTGTAGATTTTGCTCCTACTTTTTGTACGTCTTGAGTCCTCCAAGAGGATTTTTTCTGGGCTGTACTTTTACCTTTACTTTCACTGGGCAATCTGTAGGGCCACTCACTTGGATAGTATAATAGTCATGGGAATAGAGGCATGGATCACTTTATAAAAAAGAAGAGTGCTGGGGTTGATTAATTTAAATGTGCATGTTATATATACACATATTAATATGTAATATTTTCTCATATATATACATATATTCACACACACACAAATATCAAATGTCAAGGGAAATGATGAGAAAGCATGTACCCAAAGTAAAAAAAAAAGATGTGAATTACTTCTTAATTTAACTATGATTTAGTCTTCTTTTCTAAGTTTATTTTCATCTAATTTTATAAACTCAAGGTTCACTGTTTTGCTAGTTAGTAAGTGATTACTGCGTCTTGCATTCACCTAATTTCTTACTGTCTTGAATCTCAGGGCAGTAAGTTTCTGCTTAGCTGTGTCTCTTCCCTGGTAAACCAGCAGCCCGTTAGGGGACAGCACAGCCTCTGCCGTCTTTTTTCCCCCAGGCAACCTTTTTCTCTCTCCTTGCTGCTTTTTATAGTGGAAGCACATGGTGCCCTGCTGTCTGCACTATTTATAGTTATTTTCTCAAGTGAAAAATCTCAGAATTACTCAGCAGCCTGACTTTTTTCAAGGTTCAAACTATTTTGAACCACTTACAATATATATGTCAAGCATAGTTAAGTCAGTCAGTCATTCCAATAAGTTAAATATATTCCAAAGACTCCCACTTTTACAAGTTGGTTACAGAGAAGTGTCATAAACTAATTTTCAGCACTTAATCAAGGTTACTGTTTTAAATCTTTGTAGGAGTAATTAAATTTGTGATTAAAACACATCTAGCCTTGTTAAAAAAAAGTTCCCATATAATAAGACCCACACTAGTTCTTCATATATATTTATATATTTCATATATAAAGATGCAAAATTACTTTATAATTATCAATATTTAATATTTTGGTTAGGTACCACTTCAGAAATCAAACCCAGTTTATCTGTTATTAATCATAATCTTGTGTTTAGGTGTGTAGAATTCTTAATTGCATATGATGCTGACATTAACCATGCTGCTGATGGAGGACAGACACCTCTACACCTGGCCTGTAAAAATGGAAATAAAGAATGTATTAAGCTCTTGTTGGAAGCTGGAAGTGACCAAAGTGTAAAAACCGGAGTGAGTACCAGTTTTAGGGGTTTAGTTGTATAATTTACAATGTGTCTACAAATTGTACAGCTAGAAAAATAAAATATGTTAAAAAGCTAGAGTTTGTTTTGCTTTCAGGATATTGAATAAGGACAATGTCTGTTCTTTGAAGCTCTTCCAAGTAAAAGCTTTGTCTATTAGGCTAACCAGACCTTTACCTCGGGACTACAGTTTATTCAAAATGAGTACCTGTGTCCTGAACTGTTTTCATTCATCCAACAAGTATTTCCTGAGTACCAGCTGTCCTAGGGACTAAAAGAGAGAGCAGCCACCAAAATAGCCCCTGCCCTCATTGATCTTATATTCCATTATTGGGGAGAGGGCAATAGTAAACAAATAAGTCACTAGATAGTAGTTGGATGTTCAGGAGATAGGAATACCCGGGGCAGAGATTACCTTATAAAAAAACTGATCAGAAAAGTCTTCAGTGAAAATGGAACAATTGTAAGTACTCAACAAATCTTAGGTATTATCATCATCATCAATAGTAGTACTGAGTTGTAATGTGTAAACAAAAGGGAGTTTCATGGTGGCCTCTGCCCTGCAATGGAGGAGGGTTATTTGTGTTGACTATTTCTCCTAGAATGGTTTTTGTTATTGCTAAGATTGTACAGCACCTCACAGAGCTCAAGGTCACCGTCTAATTCGCCTCAGAACTTGAAACACTATGTGGAAATGTACTATAAAACCTAACACAGTGATGTAACTGTTGACTTCACCCTTCACAGTCCCAGTAATGCCTGTACAAAGCTGCACAGGTGAAGAGAGATTTAGAAGTTGACAAAGTCCTTGGATGGTACTTCTGGCTCAGCCACATGAGAATGCATTTGAAATAAAACTTCCCAATTAACTCTCCAAAATTTGTCTTTATCAAGCTATCATGGTGTCCTTGAAGATCAAGAAATCGGCCCTGTGTACACTGACAAGCGCTTCTCTGACAGAGGCCTATTTAAGGTCTGGAGGAGTTAAGGAGCTTCCATCATGATCCACTGGTCATTGGGCCCAGGCATTATTTTATTTTTGTTATTGCAGCTTCCCATAATATTATGTAGTAATTATCACCCTCCAACATATACCTGATGAAAGACAAATACAGACATTTTAATGTCCAAAGGTTGTCTGTACCTTAGATTGCTTCTGTTAATAGAGAATTGACTATACTGGGCATCCATTTCATAGGAAACATCTTTAAAATTTTTAGGGTAAAAATTTTATCCTTTTAGGATAAAAAGGTGTATTATCTTGTTTTGTAGGTCACTGTTTCATATGGGCTTTCTTAAGTAATTTCCCAAAAGAACCAGCAATTAAGGGTATAATCAGGGAAATAAGTTAGGTATAAACATTTTCCATTGAATACTAGTGTTAAAGCTATTTTTAAAAAAAACTTTCTATTTAATTTTTGAAAATCTAAGAGAAATCTAGTGTTATATTTATTCATGCTGTTTATATGCTTTTTTCTGAAAAAAATGTGATGTTATATAGATTTCAATATGAAATTGTGAAATTCTACCTTAATGTGAAAACTGAAAGAATTTTACATTATCAAACTGAATGAAAAATAAATAGTGCCACAGAAAAATTTGTCACATGCCTGTAAGTTAGAGAACACAGAAATTCATGTTCTCAAGCAAGTTGTTGAAAGTACAGAGGTAAACAGTATAATTGATAGAGGATTTTAAGGGAATAATTATCTCTTGTTACTTTTAATAAGAAATCACAGGAAAATGGAAGATTGAAAGTTTTTCAGGAAAGGCTGCATGGCCTTTGTAATGTAAATTAGGGATGGTTAAGAGCACTTATACTCCAGTAGCTATGTAAGGCTATGTAAGGCTGATACCCAAGTAAAGGTGTCCACAGCCCAAAAAAGAACAAGCCGTTAAATGCTTTACATGGCTGGAGCCTGCTGGAGCCCATCCAAGCATTGTATGGTATTCCAGTTACTGCCCATGGTCTTAGCCAAGTTGACTTCACTGATAGGTGGTACAGAACCAGTCCAAAAAAAAAAAAAAAAGAAAAAAAGAAAACCACTTTATCAAGGGGCAGCATTAGCAAATGATTGGATTACTCAGTCTTAATGTACATTGTTACCATTTTGTCTAGTTTTCTCCCTTTTACCCTGTATTTTTTTAAAGTGTACTGGAGCTCACCAAAAAATGTCTAGTATAGCTATATGAAACACTATTACTGAACCAAAAAAGGAGGTTCAGCTGCCTATAGTCACAGAAGCCAAACTTGTGAAGCAGATGCTGGTGTAAGAAGAGGTTTTATTCAGATGCTGCACTATCTGTTAAATTGACAGGCTCCTGTCTCGAAGCTCACCTACTCCACAAAACCAAGACAAAAGCACATTTCAAAGTACAGCCCTTTGAAGCTGGCCAGTGGCTGCTAAGTAGCCATCCAGGTAGCTTAGCTTATTTCCAGCTGCTGTCCATTTCAGACTCCCTCTTGGAGCCTGCATGTGCAGCCCATGTGGTCATTGGCCATGCGTCTGCTAGGACTGCAAGGTTGCATGGTCTCCAGAAAGAGCATGTGAACACACCAGTGAAAGCATCACCAGGTGAGTGAGAGGGGCTCCCTCCTGAAGGCCATGAGCCATGTGGCTGCTAAGAAGAGAACAGGCCAGTGCACTGTACCAGTGCAGGTCCCAAGCCAGTGAGCCATGAGCCAGAGAGAACAAACCTTTTTTTGTTTCCATGGGATATTAGCTTGGGTGTGAGTTAGGCCAGGTGCTTTCTCAAAATGACCAATCAACTTTCCAAACTTTTGAGCACTTTGGGTGGGTCTACCTCCCAACCAATCCCTTCTTTCCCCAGGCTAGACTAATAGACTTTGTTGGTCCACCACCTCCTCCTGCACCATTTTGACTTCTGTGGTGCATGTGTCTGCCTTTCCTTGGTCCCACACCCAATCTGGTACTGGAATAGGGGGCTTTTTCCTATCCAATTATCTTGGTAGCTTTTTGGCACTCAGTCTGAGGACCACCCCCTGCTGCCATCTTGCTCAGTGGGGGAGATTCCCTGGGCTTTGGACAGACTGTCTACTGGTAACAACACCACATGAAAAAACATGCCAAAAGGAAAATAAAGGTAGGAAAATAAAATAAAGCCAAGACAAAAATCACCAAAATGAAGCTCAGTTCTTTTATGGAAGTGTTAAAAATCTAATGAAGACAAATACCTGAATAGAAGGCAGGCTCATCTCTATATAAGAAAATATAACCCTCCAAGGGGACAAAGATTTACTCTAGAATAGTGCTTGTCAAACTTTAGTGCATCCAGATCACCTGGATTGCTCACCACACCTGAAGATTTTCTGATTCTGTAGTTTTTGAATTATACTCAAGAATTTGCATTTCTAACAAGTTTCCAGGTAATGCAATGCTGGTGGTCTCGGGCCCATACCTGAGAACCATTGCCCTACAGAAGAGTTGAGTCTACTCTAGAAATCAGCTAAGTGGATGATTGAGACTTCAAAGTAATACATCCCAGAAAATGGTCCCAAGCATTTTAGTTGAAACATTTCTAAGCTTTATGTATCAGTGGCCCACTGCCATTACAGAACACTCAATAGAGACCCACAGGCACACCATGAAGTAATTTGGCTCTGTTTTTCCTGTATGCCTACCTTTTCCCTATTATCTAGAATCTCCCAGAATCATTAACATAAAATTTTAAGATCACTAGAATTAAAACTCTGCCCTGTAAATAAAAACAGCTTATAATAGCATTTATTTAGTAAACTGTAGCTAGATATACATTTTTAAAAACATTTTCATGTTAAAGTTTACTCTCTTTTGTAGTATTAAATTGAGATTTTGGTTCTCCATACATAATGCTTAATTACCAACCTGGGTAGCACCTACTTATTCCAAATGGTTAACTTTTAAGTAGAAATTCTTACAAAAAAAACATGAGTCATAGCGATGGTAATACACTAATTGACCGAGGTCAGAGAACTTGACTCCACTCATCAGTGATATTCAGGATTGGAATGCCTGCTTTTCCCAGCTCAATGGTCCATGCTCAGGAACATTTAGAAGTGAACTTTAAGTAACACTGGTCTCAATTTTAATATCATAATCAACAGTTTCCCCTGGTCATTTTATTTTCAGGATGGCTGTACACCAGTTCACGCAGCTGTGGGCACTGGCAATGTGGACAGCTCAAGCTCCATGTATCATGGAGCACCAACTCGTGGAAATTCCTTGCATGAGGAAGAAGTCAGGTCGGATGTTTTTGACTTGGATCAGGGAGAAGAGAGTCCTGAAGGCACAGCCAAACCTGTTGTTCCTGCAGACCTCATTAACTATGCTGACAGAGAAGGCTGGACTGCTGCCCATATTGCTGCTTCAAAGGGTTTTAAGGTGTGCCTGTGGTGCAGCTGACCTCATTATGCAGTTGTGATTTGATGAGTGGCAAAGTTGTCTGCTATTGACTGAGTGTATGTCAGTTACATAATAGGAAACTGAATGATACCATTGCAGTAGATGATTAACTAGCTACCTATAGGAACTGATATTTTTTCTGTCCAGCAAATATTTATGGTCAAGAGTATATGAGACTTTTCATAAAAAATGTTTGGTGTTTGTTAACAAGAAATGTAAGAGTAATTATAGAAACATCTCATCTAAAATTAGGAAAAAAAACTGGTGTTGGTTTAGTCTACTGGGTTGTTTGATTCAGTACCAAGCCTATCATACTAGTTAGAGGAAGGGCCTGAACTCAGATACCTGCCTTCTAACATGACAGCCTCACGATGCCCTACCTGTGTTGTCCTGCTAATAGAGGGAGCTCTGGATTTTACTTACCAGTTAAAGTTGAAAAAGATTTTGAATATTAAAGAAATGATATAGTGAGACATTCATTTAAACTTCTTTTTCTATTTATGCCATTTTGGAAATAATATGCTCTATAATAATAAGCTATGAGAAAGCTTCTGAGTTCATGGCACTGTTTATGATATCATTTGCAGGGATCATTTATGCCATTAGGTAAGTCTTTCATCCAGTGGCAAGGGTGTGGGGTATAAGGCAGCTGTAAGATAAGCACAAAAAACCTAAAACAAGATAACAGAATGTCAACTACCATGGACATTATATTAAAAAGAAGTGTATGGTAGAAACAATAGAAAAATGTAGGTTTTTATTTTTGTGGAAAAAAGAGAATGCCCATATTTCAGAGAGCAGATTTACAGGGGAGTTGGGCTCAGAAATTACTCATTCAAGAGGAGCTAAATATCATTTGGATATTTATCCTTGCAGAGTGAGCTAGAATTGCCATCGTCAGTGGGGAAAAGAGTAGTTCAGATGGAGGAAGCAATAGGAACAGAGAATGGGAAGGGCAGGTGGGCAATAGCTCCAACTGAGTTAATGAGAAGAAATAAGACTGGACTGGGAGTTTCATAGAATGGCATCAGCCTTCATTGATATATTAAGGAGTTTGGGCTTTATTTACTAGTCAGAGTAAAGCCATTGAAAGATTTTGCACAGGGGAGCAAAGTAATCAGCCCTCTAGTTTAAATTGATTAATTTGGCAAAAACATTTAGAAGATTCAGGATTATAAAAAAGTGGGAATCAAGGGAGAGAGACTAGCTTAAAGATGATGGGAGTGGTAGAAATAATAAGAGCTATTTCAGACTAGAAATGTCCAAGGGTTGAAGGCACATTAGATATGGGAAATGAGGAAGCTGAATAAAAGGGTAATAGTGATGTTCCCAGAAAGAAAAGTGATATCATGTGATCAAGAAGATAGAATGTGGGTTTAGACATGCTGAATTTATGTGCTGTGATATGTTTATCCAGTTGGAGACATATGGGAATACCTAAAAATATGCATTTGGAAGTCCTGGTTGGATAACTTCCTGTTACTGTGATCTAGAAAAAAAGGTGGTAATTTGGGACTTTGGTGGTTTTTTTTTTAATGAGAAAAAGGTATGATTCAGTTCAATTGTAAGGTATTCTTCATTAACAGTTTTTTCATTTTGTTCTTTAACAAAAAACTACAAAAATCTTGTACACTTAATATGTATACAAAATATATTGATTTGCATGGAATTTAATAGGATTTGACATAAAATTTGTAGGAGACAAAAATGAGAAATGTGGAAAGTTTAAATTTAAAAATAGACCATTAATCTAGGACAGTGAATCTCATTTAAAGATGGAATGGGGCATGTAAGGGGTAGTTTACAACCTATTCTAAACCCCCTAAAGAAAATCTCTTGAGTATAATGCAGTATGTGACTGGTAGGAGTGAGTGTACATGTATTCAACCTGAAGGCAAAAAGAAATGAAAGAGCAAAACAAAACCTGAACATAAGTGATCTAGAATATTCAGCTATTGAACCTTATGCTAGGCAGAGAGGAGAACCTGCTCTCTGGCATGAGTCACACTACAGTGTAGGGAGGGTGCTTGTGTTGTAGCTCAGCTTTTTAATTATGACTCCTTATTAGTGCTGGTGCTTTTGATACACCCTTGATTACCTTCATGGGTCCCCAGGCACTTGGCAAATGTGGGTGTTCTGTCCTTGTCGAATAAAAGGAACTGTGACCTCTTTCTCACATGGAATGTGTCTGTCCCTGTATTTTCTTATACTTTAAGAAGCATAAGATTTACAGGAGAGTTGGGCTCAGAAATTACTCATTCAAGAGGAGCTAAATATCATTTGGATATTTATCCTTGCAGAGTGAGCTAGAATTGCCATCGTCAGTGGGGAAAAGAGTCAATTCTCTATTCAATAAGAAAAGAAAGATCTTAAAAAGATCTTGAGCTTGACTGACAATATTCAAACTCATCTAAGTAAAATAATAGATTTTTAGCCCTGAAGTGGATACTTAATCTTTCAGTCTGACTTATTTGTTTTCTTATTATTATGAGTATGAAGACATTTAAACCTTGAAGGATTAATAGATAGAAGTCAGGAATGAAGCCTATATTGCCTAATTTATTGCTCTTCACACTATACCATGCTGCCTTCCTTCCTAGTCAAAGGTATTGGAAAATATTTTTGCATCATTTGCCTTACAAAGTTTATATTCTGGTTAAAGTAGTTCTCCAGAGAGGTAATCCATTTACGACTAAGTTGTGAAGAACAGTTTTCTGAAAAAATAAAAAAACAGTTCTGAGGTAATCATGTAAAAAGGTTCTGCACTGACCACAAGTAGATTTTAAAAAATGAGTTTTTTTTCTCTTTGCAGTAGTATATGTGTCCAGTCTACATAAAGTAGTAGTACTTTCACCCAAGATGACCTCAGTTTTCCAGTTTTTTAATAAAGAACTGTGGGGTTTCAGAGTTCAAAGAGAGATACTTCATCCAGTCTAACATCCTCATCTTACAGATGGAAAAATTAAGTCTTATAAATTAGTATAACTAATTCCCCAAGGTCGATTTGTAGGAGATCAGATTTCTAAATCAGTATTTTTTCTATTTTTATCCTTGGTCTTCTTCCCAACAGTTAAGCAATTTGTGCAAATCATTATCTTTTGTTTGGTATTAGGATGTACCCCTCTCTAAAACTCGGGTGTGACTCCGGAGCTGAACTAATCGCTGAGGATATGCCTTTATTTTCATCAGTTAGTGTGTGTAGTTAGAAGAGTGTCTTGTCTTAGCAAAACTCTGTTCTGTTATGAGAACGTTGACATTTCAAGTTCCTGCAGCAGAAACATATTAGGGAGATTGTGTGGATTTGAGCATCCTTGCTGTTGAAACTCTCATACAAAGAAATTCTTTGTATTGGAACTGAGTGTCTTTTTGACTGCAGGAGGAGATTATAGTTCTAGTTAATATATTGTCAAAGCCATTGCCTTCTTACCACTTAACCACTTAACGCTCTTATTCGGTCTCTCTGAGTTGACTCTTTAATGCAAACTCCTCCCCCAACACTGTTCACTTCCTCGCTTCCCCTCTGACTTTGATGACCAGGTTTTCATTTTGTTTTTCCAGATTTTTTCTTCTGTTTAACCATAAGCAGTTTCCAAGCTCCATTCACAGCTAGCTAGTCCTACTTTTTAAGAATTCACCCAGTCTTTTAGCTTCAACTGTGGCTTCTACAGTAACTAGTCCCAAACCCAAATCTTCACATCTGGCTTTTTAACTGTCTTCCAGACATTTACTTCCAGCATCCTAGAAGTCATCTCTGGGCATGCCCATTGTCTTCTCATTAGATGGTGGCCCTCTTGTCACCATCTTCAGGCCATTCTTGCATTGTGTTAGGATTGTGGTCTCCCTGAGGCATCCTTCACTTTCAGCTGGGCGAGTGTCAGAAATTTCTGTTCACATCGTACCATCTTCCCTCAACTGCTTGGTCTGGATGAAGTGTGTGTCTGAAGTGCGCAGGTCTACTTGGGGCCCTGAGATTTTGATTCCCTCCTCGTAGATCATGGCTGAAAGGAGAAAAAAGTGATCAAGAGTCACACAGAGCTGGATAACTGACTGAGAGGAGAAAGACGGGATACCTGTGAAGTTGAACCATATCTTTGGGACTAGAGGTTTTTCATGATAAATAGAAATCTCTTCTTTGGAATCTGTTCTTGTGCTTTTAATTTTCCATGATTATTTTTTCTCTTAATTTTTATAAAATTATTTTTGAAAGACCAGATTGACTTAGCTCTGCGTAAACAGAGGGAAGACTATTTTTTTAATACACATTCCACAGTGTTCAGTGCAGAGTATGGCATTCTTGCCTAATTTGAGCAGCAGTGCATAAACTTTTAACAGACATGCTCATAGACTTTGCAATATTTTCCACCAACACCTTCATTGATCTGGATTTTGACCCATTTATCCCACTCTGTACTTACTCCCTGGAGTGATCTTATCGATCCTCAGAATGCAATCTATTAGAGATTCCAAAATCTTACCTCTTGCCCAGCTTACCATTTCCTGAGTTCTCCCTGATGACCACAGTTCACAGGGCATTTCCTTGATAACTAGAGATTCAAACTTTCCACTCTGGCTAGTACAGTTCTTGCTTATACCTGTCATATCAGTGTAATTATTAACAATGCCTCCTTTTTACTCTTAAAAGTGTCCCAGTTTAGAAAATTACATGTTAACCCTATTGACAAGCATATCCATTTTTGCTTCTACCCAGCAGCTCCAAGTCAGTGAATCCTTGGGCCCCCATGTTTATGCTCCTTAGCCTGTCTGCCACATCTCTCTTGTTCTTCCTTTCTTTATCTGAAAACATCACCTGCCATTTGTGTTCACTTGCTTCATCTTCCTAACGTAATGATTTCAACTGATCAGTAAAATTCTAGATTTTATTCTTTTATGACTGAATTTTGAATATGTCACCTCTCTCATGCCTGATGAGCACCGTCCTTGGAGTGCCCTTATCATCTGCTGTGCAGGCACCAGTGGCATCTCTCCACTCAGTCACTCCCACTCCTTCACACTGCCATCAGAGGGGCCTTGCAAACAGGACCAAAGATCATGTAGTTTACCTGCCTAATGTCTTTACAAGGCTCTATCACTTCTGGGATAAGTGACCTTTGTCATGGCAGACAAGTCCCTTCCTAATTTGGCCTCAGTCTGCCTCCTCAGGTGCACTTCCTGTCTCATTCCAAAATGCATTCCTGTTCTAACCAGGCACTACTGACTGCAGTGCAGGCAGCCTGTGCTTTCTCTTCTCTCCCTATCTTTGCATCTGCTGTTCCTATTACCTCAAATGGCTTCCTCTCCTGTCCTGACCCTTCTCTGCCTAGAAAACATCTCAGCTTAAGTCTTAGCTTCCAAGAGACAGATATTCCCAGGGCACCTCTTCACACTTCAGTTAGCGAGTTTGTACTTTAAAACTGTAATTGTTTGCATGCCTCTCTTCTTTTCTGCCTCCTCTCCAAAATTACTTTTCCATCTTTGTATATGCCCAGCAGAGTCTCTGACCCAAAGTACTAATGTTTGTTGAATCAAAGAGTAAATTACTGTAGTTCTTTTTAACAGCTCCCTTCCTATCACCCTCTTCCTTTCCAGTATATCATCCAAATGCACTAGCTGGTTTTGGGAACTGACCTGATTGTGACACTTTGCTACCTGAACATATCCTCATGTCAATAGAAAAGCATCCAAACTCATAGCACTCAATCCTTCACAGCTGACTCCAGCTGTCTTTATTTTTCACCACTCATCCAAAAATCTACCTTCTTGCTTATGCCCTTATTTCCCATTTTAACAGCTTTCATCTCCCCTGCCCTGCAAAACAGTGGGTACACCCACACCCAAGGTTGTTCCTAGTACCTGCACTGGACCTTACCTCCTGTGTGTCTGCAAACTGCTTTTGCTGTCACTCCCTCTGTCCAATATCAAACTCTCAGCTCTCTGCCTTGACTTTGATTTTATCTCTAGCTCTTTGGACTTGGGGTTTCTACTTAGTCCCCTTGGTGCTTGTACCTTGCTTCTCAGCTCTTCTTAAAGGACCATGGTAGAGATGGTAAATGATATAATTACTTTTCATGTAAATGATATAAAAACTCCTATTTAAATAGACATTTGAAACACAGATAAGGTAACTGAAGCCAAAAAAAGTTAAATAATTTACCAAAGATACAGATAAAATAATTTATATTGGCAGGATTACAATCCAGGTTTGTTTTGAGTCTTACCGGCTTTTGCTGCAGGTACTAACTTGTATAATAAATGTGTTTTTCTCTCTTATCATCTGGGAATTCACAGAGTTTAGTGCTTAGACTGCATTCTACTTAATACTCATTTTAGAGTTCATGTCTAAGTCAGCATTTCTGAATTTCTCATTAACTACCTTATGCATTCACTGCTTTTGTGCTAATTAATAAAACAGTTTGATTAGAAGTGTTACTTATATATTTTGCTTTGTTTTCAATTAATTTCTTGACATAGTGATTTCTTAGATCTGAATCCCAGACCCACAAAAGCTAGACTTTGATTACAATTATAGGGGCAATTCCTCTACTCTGAGCAGAGGCAGCGAGAAACAGATGTCCGAGCTGATCCCCTTGGCAGACGGGCAGATTTTCTTTACCCAGGGTTCCTCTGGTTCAGCTTCTCCAATCTGCGGGTCCCAAGGCCTAGATTTCCATCCCCACAGTGTCCAAAACATGTCTTTATCAGCTTTGCCCTTAAACCAGCACTGGTTTCCTGTTCAAATTTCACTTAATTGGTGGTTTCATCTGACTCCTTGGTTTTCTTTCTGGCTGTTAGGGATTTCTTTTACTTCCTTGTAAACTTGCATTCTTTGTTCATTTAAAGAATTTTTTTTGAGCAATACAAAGCAATTGGAGCTCATTTGTTCTCCTGGTGGGAGTGGAAATTGGTATAGCTTCTTTAAAAGCACTTTGCAGTATATACTGACTTAGAACATGTGGATACCTGTGACCTAGCAGTCCAACTCTGGTACATGTACTCAATAGAAATGTGTGCATGTGTCTTCCAAAGGACTCTGACTAGAATGTTCATAGAAGGATCCAAATGCCCATGAATGAGATTATAAATTGTGGTATATTCACATCACACAATACCACATAGTAATTTTAAAAAGAGCAAAACAAAAGATGGACTGTGACTACTCCCAACACATGGATATTTTTTGTAGACATTATGTTGACTGAAACAAGCCAAATATAAAACTGTGGCTACACTATGATTCCATTTATATAAAGTTCATAAATAGGCTAGCCAGTTTTTAATACTAGAAATCAGAATTGTTGGTACCTGTGGGGAAAGAAAGCAGGGGCTAGAGATTGAGATGGAAACTCACAAAGTGCTCCTTACACAAGCATTGCATTTTGTGATCATTCTTCAAACCGCACACTTATTTGTGTACATCCTATGTAAATATTCTACTTCGCTAAAAGAGAAAAATAAAAAGGAAAAGAGTGTGCTTTTCCAAACATAAAAAGGGTATTTTATATCAAAGCCTGTGTGTATGTATAAGTGATGAGAAGGATATTGCTTGCATTGGTTGGTAGTTCCTTTTCATTGACTCTGGTCCATTTAGTTTTGTGCTTGTTCTTGTAGGAAATCAGTGAACGAAACATGAAGTGGCCAAAGTTAAGCTAGTAGAGTTCCTTGGTAAATAGCCTGATGTCATATCATGCCATGCAATTATTTATTAGAAAATGTTTGCATTTACTTCTACATTGGTTTGAAGACTTTTGAAAATAAGGCTTGTCAGTTTGTAGGTTATTGATGTTTTTTGAGTGAAGATTTTTCCTAAGCAGCACAGAAGAAGAAAAGATGAAGAAGAGGGAATATAACTTTAGTATCAATTGGGAATATGTTTCTAAAAATTCAACCAATATGGTCTTTATGTATTTTAAATTTAAAAGAAAAACAGACAGTACTCAGTGGATTGAGCGCAGGCTATGAACCAAAGGGTCACCAGTTCGATTCCCAATCAGGGCACATGCCTGGGTTGCGGGCCAGGTCCCCAGTGGGGGCCACATGAGAGGCAACCACACATTGATGTTTCTGTCTCTCCTTCTCTCTCCCTTCCCCTCTCTCTAAAAATAAATAAATAAATAATTTTTAAAAGAAAAACAGACGGTGTAAGATCTTAATATAAAAGTGCTTTCAAGGACAGAATTGTTAAAATTGGAGCTGTGCACTTATATGACCAGGAAAGCAGTTCATAGTCTAAAAGACAGCAAGTAGCATCCAGTTGTAGCATAAGTCTTTTTGTTTTACATTGCTGAATTACCATAGAGGGATGCCATCTACTGAAGTCAATTTCCTAACTTCACCGTGCAAGCTGAGTGATTAATAAACTAATCTTTTTTCTAGTGAAACCTAAGAGGCTATTCTGTGGACATTGTTTTGATACTATGATTCACAGTTAAATGAAGTACTCTTTGCTTTTCTTTTTGAGACATTGATAAGAGTAATCTGTATATTTGGGTTACTGGAATTGAAATAAGATTTCTGGCTGAGAATTCATGATTTGCTTGCTGTGGGCAACAGACTTTTCCCTGGGGGCTTAAGCTTAAGATTATTCATTTGGGCATGAGGTAATAGAGCTCTTGTCCTACAGAACTGCCTAGAAATCCTGTGTACACATGAAGGACTCAAGCCAGATAGGAGAGATAAGTGTGGCTGGACTGCGCATGACGTTGCCACTGATGACTACAAGCATCTGCTGGAGAACCTGAGTGAGTACCTTTCACAGTGTCATTGTTCATCCCTCATCCTCAGTGTGGGGCCTCAGGGACAATGGGAAAAATATTAATGCAACTCTGTTTTCTCATTCTCTGCATTACCTTTCTTTGAACCCTAGCTGTTATAAACAAACAAAAAAACCCTCTTTATTGATCACAGCTACGGTAATTATTTTTTCCATGTAGAATGGCTTTTTTACAGAATTAGTTGATATTCAGATAATGAACAATCTTTCTGGAAAAGAAGTCTAAGTGATTATTATTATTTCCTTCTGACTTAGATTGTTTTTATAGACATGAGACTAAGAGGGTATGAGAAATCATGGCTGGGTACTTTGCCATGAGCTGGTTGTATGCACCTAGGTGAGTTTTTTGTCTCTCCACATCTGTTTGCCTGTCTGTGAAGGTAATTGGTGATTTTTTTTGGTGTCTTCCAGATTAAAGAATATATACTCTCAGCACATTATATGAAAGGTTTACTTGTGGGTTTATGAATATGGAGTGCTAGGTCATACAAAATAGTATGAGTGACCTCTTAGGTTGAGATTATCACTCAATCTATTCTGTCAGCTAGCCATATAAATAATTCTACTTCAGTTTGTATTTTAATGTTAAGAGAAAAGAAATGAACAATAAATATAAGAAATAATATATTCTGGGATATGTGAGGTGGTAATATGCACTATGGAAAAGATCAAGCAGGATAGAGAACGGGAGTTTTTAAAATGAGTGTAGGAATTCCAGTTTTTAAAATGATGGACAGGGTACCCTCACTGACAAGACATCCAAGCAAACACTTGAAGGAGGAGAAGGGAAGCTATGTAGATATCTCAGGTTAGAGTTTTCCAGGAAGAACATCAGGTAGACAGAGGCCCTAAGGTAGGGCATACCTATGTGCCTGAGGAACTGTCAGAACGAATGAGCAAGGGGAGAGAAGAAGGAAGAGAGGTCAGAGAAGTTTGAAGATACAGTGGGTTAGGGGGCCTGATCTTGTCAAAATTTGCAGCATCCTAAGGACTTAGGGGGGAACCATGTCAGTGTTCAAATGTAGGAGTGACAGTATCTGAAGTACATTTTAATAGTCATACTGGCTGCTTTGTTGAGAATAAACTGTAAGAGTCGCAGGTAAAAATCAGGGGACTTCCTAGGCCATTGATGTAGTATTCTAGGTAAGAGACAATAATGATGGCTCAGTTTAGGATTGTAGCCAGTGAGATAGTAAGAAGGGGTTTGGTTCTGCATATAGCTGAAGGTTGAGCCAATCAAACTTCCTGCGGATTGAAATTGAAGTATAAGTGAGGGGAATGCTGTATACCTGAAAGTAATACAAAGTGATATTGAATATAAACTTTAATTGAAAAATAAAATTTAAATAAAGTGTATGAGAGAAGGGATTTGTGGATAACTCCAGATTTTTAGGCTGAGCAACTAACTGGCAGGATGGAGTCCCTGTCAACTGTCAATGGGAAGGCTGCGGGTGAAGCAGATTTTGCTAATAAGGATCAGAAGTTCAGTTTGAGTGTAAGAATCTGAGATGTCTGTTAGAACTATACAGAGATGTCAAGTCAGCGGAATTCAGAGGTGAGTATAAGCTGGATGTGTAAATCTGAGAGTCAGCAGTCTGTAGATGATATTTAAAGTCATGGGACTGAATGAGATCACTAAGGAAGTGAACGCAGATAGAAAATAAGAAAAATGAGCCTTGCAACACTGTCATTAAGAAATCTTGAAAAAGTGGAGGGACCTAAAAAGGAACAACAGTAAAGAGTAGCCATTGAGGTATGAGGAAATCCAGTAGGAGTCTTCATCAGAGAGCAGAGACATCCGTTCGGTCAGATGCTGGTGATAACTAAGTCGAGAATTGAGTATTAACAACCAGAAAAGAAAACAATCCACTAGTTATCCAGTTAATAGGAAAAGCCAATTTAAGAATGGGGATCATAAAATACATGTTTTTAAACATTTTATTTTAATTTGAAGTAACTTTTTACTAATTTTTAGGTGGAAGTCTTCATTTTAGTATGTCTCTACTGACTGAAGTTCTACATACTATTCTTGTTTGAACAACCACACCTTCAATGCTTTATCTATGATATCTGTTGTTTGGGGATTTAAATATGTGAGGTCTGTCCAGAAGGTATCCAGCCATATAACATAAAAAATAGAGACATTTCTTGAAGAAGACACCAAATAAAAGAAATATTGTACATAGAATAATGACACCTCAGTCCCCTTTAAAGCAGACACCTTGGGACCTCGCATAGTTCTCCAATCGCTATCAGCTGCCCCATGGTATTTTCTTGAATGCCACCAATGGTCTAAAGTCCCTTCCCTTTCAAATGTGATTTTAGCTTGGGGAAAAGTCAGAAGTATCAGGGTGCCAAATCTGAGCTATTTGGCTAAATCTGGGGTAATTTGATGTTTTGCCAAAATCTCTGCAGGAGATGTGATGCATGAGTGGGCATGTTGTGATGAAGCTGCCCATCACCAGTTGCCCATAGCTACAGCCTTCTGAACCATCCAAATAGATTTTGTGGAGGAATGTTCAAGCTTAATGTAAAATTTGATGCAGATTCATTGCTGTCCTTGCTCAGTCATTTTGAATGTGATAGCCATAGAGTATATGGGCTCACTCAGTGGTGTCTACCACCCGCACTGACTAGTACAATGACATTGTCATTGTGCACACATGCTCATTCCAGTCCACTCTCCTGGGCTGCCAGGTCACATGAATGTCACAAAACCATTCTAATTATTAAAATGGCTGGACTTTTTTTCTGTACAGATCTTGTGTTTGTGAAACAAACTGAAAATAGTATCTGTATAGAGATAATTAAATTGTTTACTAATTTTATGTAATTGCCTCATGTACTTTATTAGATGACTTTTTTCTTAGAAACTCCTTTGTTTGTGTCTCTAAAGTGTTCAACTTAGTTTTCTTAGGAATAGTAACTCATTTAAATCAGTTTATAAAACATTTAATTTGCTAATTACAGTGATGAGTTAACAGACATAGAGGATTTGGGAATAATGATATGTGACTTGGTAAGTATCTAAATCGATTCATACGGAAGGAAGTGCATGGGGTTTGCTGCCCACCTAAGTGGGGCCTCAGTCAGTTGGTGTCACAGAAAGGTTGGAAAGATCATTTTAGAAGCTTATACTGTACTGTTTGCCATTTATCTCATTCTTAGTAGTACTTATCATGTAACAGTGTGTTAAATTTATTCCAAATGTGAGTTCATTTATTCTCCAGAATACCTTGATTTTACCTTCCTTCCATTGTATAGGAGAAATTGGGGTATAGCGAAATGGAAGCAATTTACTGAGTACTCACAGCTAAGAGACTGCTTATCCTGAGGCTGAGATCAAGTTTGTGTGACTGAAGCCATAACCTAAGCACATTGACCTATAGAGCCATGTGTATGTTACATGCCATTGAGTTAGCTCTGACTCCTGGCCACCCTTCAAATGAGTGATATCCACAATATTCTGTCCTTTACAGCCCTACTAAAGACCCATAGATTCTTGTTATGGTTGCTTTTATATACATAGAGTATTTATAACCTGCCTCATTCGTGACATTATCAATGAAGCTAAGGAGAAAGGGCAATACAGAGAATCCAGGGTTCAGGGAAGGCCCCTATTTTCACAGATTCTTTTAAAGGACTTGAGAATCATGCTGAAGGGAATGAGTCAGTGAAGAAGAAAAGGCCAAAGATACAAGGAAAGATTAACAGCTCAAGCAACCTTGATTCCAAAAAAAACCATGAAGAGATGAAAGACCAAAGTTTACTCCAGTGTGAGAACACTGAATTGATGTTATTTAAAGAAATATTGAAGCTACCCTTAGATTTGCTTTTAAAATGTTCATATTTGCTTATTTTACATTATAGTTTTGCTGTTTTTCTATCAGGATATATTTTTTTAAACTTCTAATTTTTTAAATTCTTTCAACAGATGCTCTTAAAATACCCTTAAGGATTTCAGTGGGTGAGATCCAACCAGGCAACTACAGTTCTGATGACTTTGAATGTGAAAATACAATATGTGCTTTAAATATCCGCAAACAGACATCATGGGATGATTTTTCAAAAGCAGTGAGTCAAGCTCTGACAGATCATTTCCAAGCCATCTCTTCTGATAAATGGTGGAGTCTGGAAGATGTGACGTTTAATAACACCACTGACTCCAGTGTTGGCCTCGGTGCAGGCAGTGTGCAATCCATCACTCTAGGTATCAACAGTTCTGTGGTAAAGAGAAAGCTGAATTTCTGGGTTGATTGTGTTTATGAGCTTCATAACTTGAGACTTACTTTACTGATTAAACACATTCAAAGCTCACTTGTGGCAGTTGCTGGTGCTGAAACTTGAGTATTCACAGTGCAACCATTACATAATGTTGCCTGTTAGTATAAAAATGCTTTTATGCCTCAGATAATACTCAGAGAGTAAAGAACATGAAAGCCCTTGATGAGGACTTGTGATTGCACTTGCACTAGATAAATGCAAGAAAGTAACCACACTGCAACTGCTTGCTAATGCACAAGTACTGAACACAGCTCCAAATTTGTACATGAGCAGTTCCAGGGGTGCTGTCCAGGGGTGTCCAACCTTTTAGCGCCTCTGGGCCATACTGGAAGAAGAAGAGTTATATTGGGCCACACATTAAATACATTGTGACACGTAATCACAAAAAAATCTCATTATGTTTTAAGTAAATTTACGATTTTGTGTTGGGCCACATTTATTGCCATCCTGGGCTATATGCAGCCCATGGGCCACAGGTTGGAAACCCCTGTGTGTCCATTAACACCTCCAAGAACAAGAGTCCTAATGAAGTCTAGAGTTGGAAGAAGTACTTTGATGAAAATATATTTAAATCCCCTACATGGGGTGAATCAGAGTGATGGCTGGTTACAGTGGAACCTTGGTTCTCAAACTTAATTCATTCCGGAAAACTGTTTGAGAAACAATTTGTTTGAAAACCAAATCTTTATTTGTCACCTGAGAGACTTGTGAGTAATCATACAGGTATCAGCATGAAAGTGTTGCTGGGTAGAGAATTGAAACCTGAAGTTTTGTTAGACAACCAAGGCATTTTTTTCCATGAACAACTTGGTCGAGAATAGCATTGTCTGAGAACTAAGACATTCAAGAACTAAGGTTTGACTATCCATGAAACATCCTCAAAAGACCTTACAAAGATAAAATTTGCTTTTTTGTGAGCATATTTAGTGCTCTGTAAATTTTAGTCATCAGTGGTTAGTTTCATTCCTCTTAAACCAGGAGAGCTAACATCTGCAGTAACCAGCTAGGACTGTGCCAGAATTGTGCTGGGTGCTTTTTATTGTTTCCTACAACAGGGACCTACAACAGGCTCATTTTACAGATAACTAGACAAGTTACATGATGACCTGTCTGAAGTGCAGCTAACAAGCACAGCAGTCAGGACTCAAACCCCAGTGTATCTGATAGGGAAGCCTGTTTACCTCAACAAAACCATGTTGCAAAAGCATGGTCCAGGTAGAGAGAAGGGTGGTTTTCACCATGCCATTAATGTATAGGCTTATTATAGTAGAAATGTTTTTTTCTTCACTCATATATGCTAATATACTTTGAAAATATATATTACTGCTAGATTTTAAAACATTCACAACAACTTCCAAAGCTCTTTGGCACAATTAAAATTACAATAATTATTACCAAAAATATATAATTAAATAATTGCATTAAAAGAAGTTGGAAATGACTTTGAGCATCACATTTTGTCCATGCAACAGTGTTATTAAAGGTGTGGGTCAGCCTTAGGGGTCTGATAAACAAAGACAGCTATGTTTTGAAGGAAACATACTTCTACCATATGCCCTCATCTTGTTAATCTGGAAACTGGCAAAGGAAGATGGGTATTCACCACCATCAGGTAGATTTTTCTGTGAGCAGTGGATTTCAGCATTGATGCTCATCACTGAGGGCAGGGCACCCCCATAGAATTTTAGATCTAAAATCATTGGGTACAGGGCTTTGTTAAGTTCCTGGCTATAGCCTCTTATAATCGATAACTACATTATTGTTGTTATTCATATATATATGTCATTCTACTGTGTTGATAACCTAAGCTAAATTAAAAGGGCCCTGGCTAACAGATAACTGAAAGTTACAGGTGGGGTGGACATGTATGTTGGGGACATGCTGAGAATAGTTATTTAAGAATTAATCTGTGGAAGGAAGGAGATGAAAACAAGTTATTACTAATCCCTCCACAGAGAAGGCACCTGTGAAATAGAACCCTTTCTGAGTAAGAGTGAGCAGAGGGCCCAGACCGTGAGAAAACTCCTGAGCACCTGAGGTTATCTGAGTTTTTTTTTCTGGAGTCTAAAATTTTGCTGGAAAAGGAGTCAGGGACTAGATCATAAAGGACCTGTTACTTTGCTCAAAGTGCTTGGCCTTTATGAAGTAGGCACTGGAAGAACAATGAACAGTTGTAACCAGTTCACTCCTGAAAACTTAACCCTAGAAATCTTTAGTTGTATTTTCATGCTCAAGTTTGCTCCCAAAACCTCCTCAGGACAACTTTGGAGAGGCCTGTAGTTTGAAGGTCTTCCTCTTGACCTTCCATAAAAGTTGTACTAGAAAGTTCGCCACCTGTAACCCTTACACATTCTCTCTATGCATTTGACAGTTTAAGCTCTGGATTCCTTAGGGTTCTCAGAGAGGAGATTATATATCAAATTTTAGAAGAAAAATTACTTTTAAAACTCTTGACATTTTAAAAAATTTCTTTGAACTAGGAAGTGTGCCATGGTCAGAAGGTCAGAGTTCCACCCTATCCCCATGGGACTTTATGAGAAAATATAAAACAGAGCAAGTCACTGTGCTTTTGTCAGGTAAAGATATTCTACAGTGAGATAACATTGACAGAGCATTTGCTTCATGATTAATTAGAAGTACCAGTTCTTAAACCTGCATGTTTTAATCCTGCCTCCTCTAGCCATGCACATGTGACTACCACTAATAGTAATTAGTGTTTGTTGGAACCTTCCATTAAGAAGGATAACTGTGGTGATGATTGTTGATTCCTGCAATTTTTTATTGCATTCCATTAGGAACAAATCAGAGGTCAAACTAATGCTCTGATAAGAATGACAGAAAGGGTGTTAACAGAAGTTTGTTACTGTCAAGTACAGTGTATGATCAATATGATTACTATAATGGTACCAGCTAATGTTTAGTGAGTACCTGCTATGTGCTAAGCCCTGTTTACAGCACATTAAAAAGTATAAATTCAAGCCCTGGCTGGGCAGCTCAGGTGAAGCATCATCCTGTACACGAAAAAGGTTGCAGGCTCAATCCCTGGTCAGGGCACACATTTGTTTTTTAAAGATTTTTTTATTTATCGAAAAAGAGGAGAGAAACATCAATGTATTTCCTTTTCCTCAACCTAACAATTCCTCCTCCTAGATAGCAGTTTTGATCCCCAGTCAGGGCATGTATGGAAGGCAGCTGATCAGTGTTTCTCCCACATCTGTACTTCTCCCCTTTCTCTCTCTTTCTTTCCCTTTCTTTCTCTCTAAAGTCAACAAAAATATCCTCAGGTAGGAATTTTCTTTAAAGTATAAATTCATTTAATCCTTATAGCAACCCAAAGGGATACATATTTCTGTTTGTTCTAGTTTTGTATACAAGGAAATTAAAGCTCAGATTGAAGGCTATAGATTTCATCATGTATTTCCCATACTTGGGAATGGAGTCTTTAAAAATTCAGTCTCAACTAATAAAGTTTTATTTTATTGTTTGAATAATACTTAGTTTTTAAAAAAGTATGGGATTCTCCTAGAAAATTCCTTTAGGTTCAAATAATGCATTGAGAGAATAGCAAAACTTATAGGGGGTTGGGAAGACAGAGCTGAGAAATGGGCCCAAAGGGAGAACTCAGACCTGTGCACTGATACTGACCAAGACTAGAGCTTTCTGAATATCGGAACCAAGCTCTGATATTGTTTGCTTATAAACAGTAAAATAGTGAATGCACTGATCAGAGCTGGTGTTTCTTCTCTGTTTTTCTTTCTTGCAGGTCCTCAAGAAGGCTGCCTCTGTAGTGTGACTTATGCATCTACGATTCCTCTTCAGATGCTGCAGAACTACCTCAGGCTGGTAGGTGGACATTGTTGAGTGGAGCCTCACACTCCCATCCCACATCAGGTGTCCTGTTTTGATGTTTACAAGAGTGTGTGAGCTCTTGCCCACCCTATTGCCTGTGCCCTGATCCCATTACCTTCCCCAATAGCCCTCTCCTTGGGAGGCTTTTGATCACTTAATTCTGGATTTCTGCCATTGCCATCTAGGTGTTCATTACCTGGATCCAGAGACCACCTGTGAGTTGTGACTGCTGTAATTTGAACAGGAGAAGATTGTCTTTCCCTAACAAGGACTTGACATCAAGTAACTAATCAGTATGGAAGAGAGTGGCTATAAATAATACCAAGATGCCTTGCTATAAATTTTCATAATTAAAAAACAAGTAAATTAGCATTAGTCTGAATTTTTATTTGGCCACTTAACAGAAACCAGAAAACTATATTTTACACAGTATAGAAGTTTGTTTTTCTCAAATATAGAAGTCCTGGCAGGTGAGAGATCCAGGGAGGGTGCAAGGGCTGGGTGACCCCTGCAGCACCTTCTCTCTCAGTGCTCCACTGTTCCCTGGGGCATGGCTTATGTAGCCTGTCTCAGAGAGGCACAGCTGCATCCCCAGGCTTCAGCCTGAGGAAGGAGAGCCTGGAGGGCAAGCCTTTTCCTTTCAGGGGAGTTGCACACACCATTCCTATCCACATCCCCCTGACGAGAGTTTAGACACACGTCCAGGTGGGACTGGCAAGTGTGTTTTGCTGGGCAACTCTGCTAATATTAAGCAGTTCTGTTACTAAAATACAGAAGTAGGGAGTATGATTATCAAGAGTAAGTAGCAAATCCTCAATACAAAATGGATAAATGTAATGTTTTGCATTTGTCCAGTACTTATTACATGCTAAGCAATATATCTGATTTATTGATTCCTGAAAATACCCCTCCAAAATAGATAATACCACCCATCTTATAAATATAGATGAGGAAACTGAGGCAAAGAGAGGTAAAATAGTTACAAGGCCACATAGCTACAGAGTGATGAAGCCAGGGTAATACAGTCCCAGATACACATGTGTATCTATATGTGAGGTCTCTCTAAAACTCATATATGTTGGTGGTGCAAAACATTAACTAAGGAATCATTTTTGAATTAGATTGTAGGAGTGTCAGTGCATACACTGACAGGTTGCAGGCTCCATCCCTGATCCAGGCACATGTTTCTCACATTGATGTTTCTCTCTCCCCCTCCCTCCCTCTCTAAAATCAATTAAAAAAAAAAAAAAAACCTTGGGTGAGGATTTTTTTTTAAAGTAAATGAGCTTGAGTATGACCCTTTACAAAAATTGTTTTTATTAACTATGAATTGGTATCTTTGTTCCTGATGAAAAGAAGTATTTTTAAATACAGATCAGAACATTTTCATTCAATATAATTAAAGTTGTAAAAAAAATTGGCCCTTTTTCATGTTCTCATCTGTTAGCACTCAATTTCTGAGCATTCCAAGACAGTTGATGTAGAATTTTAAATTGCATTAATAATCCCCACTGTAGCAAATAGTATATTCCATAGTTCATTAGTCTTCCCCCTTCTTTCAAGTAAGATGAAAATGATAACAGTTTCCATAATCTTAAAATCAATGTAAAACAAACATCTTTGTGGCCTAATAACTTATAAAATGTAACCAGGTCACAGACCAGGATACTAGTGTACAACTTTAATAATTTCTAACAGCAAATACCTGGAATAGCAACTAAGTGTGTTCATTGTATTGTAGAGTGACTTCTTTGTAAGAATTTTTTAAGTGCTCTCTAGCTCAACTGCAGGCAAACATGAAAGATATCAAAGATCTTGTTTATCTCCACTCGTCCCAGTGGAATCAGGTGAATCCTTGCTAGTTTCAACAAAAACAGATTCAAAAGCAGCTTTCTGTTCATTCAGAGGAATCAGCAGCTGTGGCTGCTTTTAATTAGTGTTGTATTGGTCAAAGATGGTTGCTGCATAGAAATTTTACTGGATTCTAATGTTTTTCTACGTCTTCTTTTACCAAAATTGTGACATAATTAGCAGGTTTAAGTCCTGCTTTTTCAACCATCAACACTAGCCAGAAGCCCTTATGAAAAGAAGTATTGAAAACCATTCCATTGATCTAGTTAGGCTCAAAGTTGGGACTGATAAAAGTAGCTACAGTGGCATAGAAACATTCAAAGACCTTACAATTTAGGAGAGATGGTGTCTTCTCACTTTTACTTTTTTTATTTGCTGTTTGCTCCTCTTCTCTAGTACATCAAAGTAAGCCTGTGGGTTTTATACAAATGGGAAGGGGATCTGTCTCATTCCTTTGCTTAAGTGCAGCTTGAAGTTGTGTCAGCAAATGGTTTTAAGGAATGTGAACTTAAAGCTCTCAGTGGAGTCAGATTCTACAACCACTTCCTTCTCTCCTTCCCCATCCTCAGTGTCTCTGTACCAGGCCAGGTTAGGCTCAGAGCTTCTCATTCACCTGTTTAGCTAATAAAATAAGTAGAAAACTGAATTACAACTGCATTTTAGCCTTGTCTGAGTAGATCTGTCAAATGAAATGTCCACTAGTCACATTCCAGTTGCAATTATGGGTGTGGCTCCTAACGCATAAGGCATAGTTTGCCTACCAATGACCAGCAAACCAGACACTAAATGAGTAGTGTTGTTAACACTGTTCTCAATTTAATGATTGTAGGCAAGGATGTTTTTAATCTAATAATTAACTCATGGATGAAAATAAAAACTATAATGTTAGCAATTGCTTCAAAATTTTAATGAGTGAGGCAATAGTATACTATAATGGTTGTCAGTGTTTCCTCTTCCATACAGAAGTATAAACCCCTTAAGGAGAGAGACCATGTGTTATGCATTTTTGTATTTTGTGTAATTATTTAATTCAATTGTTCGATAACTATTTATTGAAAGCCTCCTAAATGAAGACAGTTTTAGGAATTTAGGATATAGCTATGTATAAATAAGATGCATTCCCTAAATGCATGGAGCTCATATTCTAGTGAGGAAGACAGATAAAAAACAAACAAATAAAAACATATAATGTGAGGCCAGCACTATTTATAAATATAAAGAAAAATAAAGCAGGTGAGGAAATAAAAGCTAGTGGCAGGGATGGATTTTAGATGGAGTTGATAGGAAAAACCTTTCTGTGGTAACAGGTAAACAGAAGACCAAGTGAAGTGAAGGCCTCATGGAGGGTATTTGAAGCAGATGAATTAGCATGTACAAAAATAATTATATGCCCACTGCTGTGCTTTAGAATTGTTGAAAATCTGTACAATAGAGGTGCAAAGCTAGTAATACTTTAATGAGTATTTATTATATGCCAAGCTCTGTTCTAAGTTAATAGATTGTGTCTTTAATCATTCTATAAAGTAGGTACTTATACTCATTACTCCCATTTTACAGGTAAATAAACCAAGATTCACAATAACTTGCCTAAGGTCCTCAGCAAGTAAGTGGTTGAACCTGAGGAGTTGAACTTAGGCTGTCTTTTGTTCACATGCATTTAACCATACTTTATACTAGTTATTAACTCATTGGTTAAGAAAGAGTTGTAGTAATCAGTTTTTATTATGTGCGTAAATGTGTTATATCAAATGCATGTATGAAAGCCTTTATGCAGAAAACCATATGGAATGAAGACTCCAAATCAAGCATTTAAAATAAGCGATGTTATTTTTAAATACTTTTAATAAATAGTTAATACAAATCCATTTTAAATCTCCATTTTTGAGTTAATATGGAAGCATTTCACTTATTTGAGCTTTTAATCACTAATAATTTATAGTAGCTGAACTTTTTCTGTTAACTCAATTTTTTCTCTTATAGCCAGTTAGCAGTTTTTATTAGCTTATTCATAGCTTTGTATTTTAATAACTTAGTGATTATTATATTAGAAGAATATAATAGAAAATACTTGACTAGATCACACTATTTAGAAAAATACTTGAATAGATCATGCTAATAGATGAGCCCTATTTTTATAACATATTTTATTGATTATGCTATTACAGTTGTCCCATTTTTTTCTCCCCTTTATTAACCTCAACCCTGTACAATCCTGCCACCTTAGTTCACATCTATGGGTCATATACATAAGTCCTTTGGTTTTCACATTTCCCATATTATTCTTAACCTCCCCTGTGTATTTTGTACCTGCCATTTATGCTTCTTATTCCCTGTACCTTTTCCCACATTTTCCCCTCCCCTTTCCCACTGATAACCCTCCATGTGATCTCTATTTTTGTGATGCTGCTCTTGTTCTAGTTGTTTGCTTAGTTCATTTTTGTTTTTGTTTTTTTTAGGTTCTGTTGTTGATATTTTGGAGTTTGTTATCATTTTACTGTTTGTATTTTTTATCTTCTTTTTCTTAGATAAATCCCTTTAACATTTCATATATAAGGGCTTGGTGATGATGAACTCCTTTAACTTGACCCTATCTGGGAAGCACGTTTTCTGCCCTTCCATTCTAAACGATATCTTTGCTGGATAGAGTAATCTTGGATGTAGGTTCTTGCTTTTCATGACTTCAAATACTTCTTTCCAACCCTTTCTTGCCTGTAAAGTTTCTTTTGAGAAATCAACTGATAGTCTTATGGGAACTCCTTTGTAGGTAACTGTCTTCTTTTCTCTTGCTTTTAAGAGTCTCGTTAAGTTCTTTTTTTAATATATTTTACTGATTATGCCATTACAGTTGTTCTCTTCTCCCCCTCTTCTCTCGTTAAGTTCTTGAGTAACTTAATAATGATGTCTCTTGGTGTGTCCTTTTTTGGATCCAACTTCTCTGGGACTCTCTGAGCTTCCTGGAAGTCTACTTCCTTTGCCAGATTAGGGAAGTTCCCTACATTATGTTTTCAAATAAGTTTTCAGTTTCTTGCTGTTCCCCTTCTCCTTCTGGCACCCTTATGATTTGGATGTTGGAACATTTAAAGATGTCCCGGAGGTTCCTAAGCCTCTCCTCACTTTTAAAATTCTTGTTTCTTCATTTTGTT